GGGGGGCACCTTGGGATTGGGGGACACCTCCTCGGATTTGGGAAACACCCCTGTATTTGGGTGACCCCCCATGTTTGGGGGACCCCTCACACTCCCCTCCACAGGTCATGCCGGAGCAAAGTCCTGGGCACTGCCACCATCCACCTGTCCCAGATCTACCAAGACCCTGAGGAACTCCAGGGTGAGCAGGGTCCACTGTTGGGGGGTCCCCAGCACCCAGACTCCCCCTGGTACCCTGACCCCCCTTTTTTTGGATCTCAGGGGTGACCCCCGGCTTCCTACCCTGCTTTGGACCCGCCTTCCTGCCCCTGTATGGCCCCCGGCCCGACTGTGCCCAGGTACAGAGTGAGAGGGTGACAGGGTGGGCACAAGGGGGGCGATGGGATAGGCACAAGGGGATGGCAGGATGGGCACAGTGGCCTTTTTGGGGAGGGACGCCCACCCAAACCTCCCCTTTGTTACCCAGGACTTGGGGGTGGATTATCGGGGTCGAGTGCTCCTGGAGATCTGCACCAGTGAGGGGACCCCAGATGGGCGGCAGAGAGACATTGTGGCACCCGTGGATGTGGAACGGGCACAGGTGGGACATGGGGACAGGGGGACATAGAGACATGGGGGATATGGGGACACGGGGATACAGGGACACGGGGATATGGAGGATGTGGGACATGGGGACACATACACATATTTATTTATTTTTATTAATACATATATTCAGCAAATAACATATATAATATGGTTTAAGTATTTATATATAAAATATATACTATATATACACTATAGTATATCTAATTAACACGTACTATATGATATTTAATATCAATATAGAATTAATATGTGATTAATATATATTAATAATATATTAATATAATTAACATGTGATTAATGTATACTTTAATATTTCTTTCCCCCAGGCTTTGTTCATTGAAGGCTATCAGGGTTAATTTAGCAAAACTCAAAGTCCCACTAATTTCCTCAGTCTGTGATCCCACAAAACCCAAACTTTGCTGAATGCCATCGGAAAGTGCTTTAAGCCCAACCCCTGGCTTGTGGTTAATATAGTGCTGATGAGTAATTCAAACGATTAATTCAAACCAATAATTAACCCCCCATTTGAGTGGTTTTGGGGTTATTTTGCAGCAACAGCTCCTGCCCCGGTGCCAGTGGGGGCTCTGTGGGGTGTTTTACTCGGCCACGATGGTCCCAGAGGGTCCTGATCCGCTGGGATTTGAGCTCGGGATTGGACACGACTCCTCGGCCACCCCCCTGAGCCCCCCCCTGTTTGATGGTGAGTGGGGGGGGACACCCTGAGAGGGGGGAGACACAAACCAGGGTGTATTGTATAAACACAGAAAATATCATGTAAATATAAAATATTATATAAATATGGAAAATATTATACACATATCTAAAGTATTATATCAGAATAATAAAACAATAGTACAAAAATAGTGTTTGATCCTTATATTTTGTTTTTATATTCCTTAGTTTTGTGCCATGTATTGCTTAGTACAAACACCAGAGATTAAAGTGACTTTGTGTTAATTCTCTATATCTGTGATTAATAATCTTGTGCAAATTAGTCCTTCATTAATTACCTAAATCAGTGATTAATTAATGTGGGTTGGGAGATGTCTCAGTTTGGGGAACAAAGGTTGAGTGTCACAGCAGAGAGATCAGGGAAGGGGCACTGTCACCTGAGCATGTACTTGAGATGCTCTCAAGGAGAGAAGATTCATCAAAAGATCCAGAACCATCAAAGGGAAATTTGGGGAATGGGATGTTTGCAAACGACCACCAAAGCCTCTCGAAAGACTGCTACTCAGATCTAAATAACTCCATGGAGATAACTGGCAGAGTATTCATTAAATGTGATGAATATGTAACACAATGTGATGAATATGGATCAGTCCATGACTGTCCCGTGCTCTGGTGGGTTCTAGAGGTGCATTTGAGTGCACCCAACAAAGGAATACTGGTTTTCCAACCCCCAGAAAAAGCTCTTGGAGAGTTCAATTCCTGTTTTTTGGTGGTGCAGGGAACCTGTACCACCACCTGCCCTGGCATGGGGACAAGCCTGTGGTGGCTGTCACCTCGTCCTGGGAGGACAATTGTTGCCGCTGGGACACCCTGAACCTCCTGCGCACCCTGTGCCGGCACCTGGTGAGACCCTCGGGGTGGGCAGGACTGGGGTGGGGTGGGACCCTCCACCCCAGCTGGAATGGTTTAGGATATGATTTCAGGAGAGGAACACGGCAGAGTTGCGGCGCTGCCGTGGGGACACCGCGAGGGACGTGGGGGTGAAGCTGCTCTGGGAGCTGGAGCAGGACTGCACGTGAGGGAGGGGTCCTGGGGGTCCCGTGCCCCCAAAATCGGGGCTGGGGGAGCAGGACTGCTCGTGAGAGGGGGGTTGGGGGTTCTGGGAGTCGTCTTTCCCCCCCCCCCCCCAGATGGAATGGGGAGTTTAGAGGGTGTATGGGATCCCTGGGCTTGTCAGTCAGAGTTCGGGAGCGTGGAATGGGGTATTTGGGGGGGGGAGGGGGGAATGGGATTTTTGAGCTTCTCAGTCAAGGTTTGGGGGAGTGGAATGGGGAATTTGGGACATTTTCGAGGATGATGGGACATTTGGGGCGAACATAGAATGACGGGGAAATGGGATATTTGAAGGGGAAATGGGATATTTGAAGGTGGAATGGAGTATTTGGGGGAAACAATGAGGAATTGGAGCAAATGAGAATTTGAGAAGATAATGGGACATTTGGGGTGAAAATGGGACAATTGAGACAATTGGGTATTCGGAGGGGGAAATGGAACATTTGTGGGGGTAGCAGGGCATTGCTGGGTGGAACTGAACTTCGTGGGGGAAACGCATTTGGAGGGACACAAAGCATTTTTAGGGAAACCAAGTGGGGAAAAAACCGGGCATTTTGGGTGCAAACTGGGAGTTTTGGGGGTGTTTTTGCAGGCAGGCACTGGCCCAGCTGGAGGCACAAACCACGCCCCTCACGGCTCTGGATGAGCAGCTCAGGAATTCCCGGCGGCTTCTCCTGCGACATTTGTGGAATGTGGCCAAGGAGGCTCCAGTAAAGGCTGACAAATACGACTGGGACACACTGGTGTCGGGGGCTGAGAGGTGGCTCAGACGGGTGGCTGCCCTGGCAGTGGAGGTGGGGAATTTTGGGGCATGCTCATCTCTGAACAAGTTATATTTCTTTAAAAAGCAAATTAAATTTAATTAATAGGAAATTTAAATTATAATTTAAATACAAATATAGATAATTATGAAATTAAAATTCAAGTGTAAAAATAAATTAAAATTTAAATATAAATTTAATGGCAATGTAAATTTAAAGAAATATAAATTTCTTTAAAATTTCTTTCCATGCAGCGGGGGGGGAGATGTTAGAAAATTCTTTTAACTTTAGCACAATAATGTTTGATCCCTAAATCAGTGATTAACAGTCTTGTGCCTGCTATTGCTGCCTTAATTACCTGTATCAGTGATTAATTAATATGGACTGGGAGATGTCTTAGTTTTGGGAACAAGGGTTGTATGTCAGAGCAGAGAGATCAGAGAAGGGGCACCATGTATTTGAGATGCTCTCAAGGAGAGAGGATTCATCAGTAGATCCAGAACCATCAAAGGGAAATTTGGGGAATAGGGTGTTCCCAAATGACCACCAAAGCCCCTTAGAAGACAGATCCCAACAACTCTGCAGAGATAATTAGCAGAGTATTCAGGAATGCAATGAATATGTAACACAATGTGATGAATATGGATCAGTCCATGACTGTCCCCTGCTCTAGTGGGTGCTGGGGACGCATTTGGGTGCACCCAATAAAGGAATGTCAGCTTTCCGAACCAACGAACCTCTTGGAGAGTTTAATTCCTGGCTTTCGGTCTCTCCTTGTGTCCCTGCAGCCCCAGGCTGGTGTCCCCAATTTGGTGCTGTGGCTGCTGCGGGGGCAGTGCCGGGTGGGCTGTGCCCATGTCCCTGTCACCGATGTCACCTTCTCACCAATTGGCCCCGACGCCTGTGGGCGGCTCTGCGGGAGGATGCAGACCATCTTCCTGGTGGGAAGCTCCCCATGTTCCCTCTATACCCCCTCCACATCCCATTTGTGCTCCTGCATATCCCCTCATGTCCCCTCTGTCATTGCTTGATGTCCCTTCCATGTGTCCCTCCCTGACCCCAAGCATGTCCCTCCCATATTCCCTCCCTGTCACCTCACTGCTTTGCGTCCCCTCCATATTCCCTCAACATCCCCCTCCATGTCCCCTCTATCATTGCTCTGTGTCCTCACCACATCCCTCCCCATGTCCCCTCTATATTTCCTCCACATCCCCCCCCCAACATCCCCTCCAAATTCCCACCATACCCCTTCCATGTCCCTTGGTGCCCGTTCTGTGTCCCCCCATGCCCTCTCTCTATCCTCTTCGCTACTGCTCCATGTCCCCTCCAACCCCCCATCTTCCCCAAATTCCCACCACATCCTCCCCATGTCCCACTCTCTGTCCCCCCCCCCCCCCCCCCCCCCCCCCCCCCCCCCCCCCC